CCTGCTGGTAGAACTCTTCCAAGTTTTACCACAGCAGAACTGGTATGTAGCTATTTACAATCTACTCTAAAAGATTTACCCCACTTTCAGTGAATGATGGTGGAATGCTGGGCATACATATAATATGTAATTTCCTAATCGAATGGAAGAAGGTGTAGAAAGGAATAGGGAGATGGAAAAAATTTTCATAGCATAGCATAGACTCAGGAGTTTTGGAATCGACATTCTCTTACCAGCTTTTCCTTCCAGCATAGTTGCTAGCATCAGTCTAGACTGTACTTATAAGGTTAGGTCATTCCTGTTTACATTGTACAGAGTTTTAATACACTGTATAATATTATATACTCAGTGGACCTTCAATAAATAATTTTTATATGGTAATTTTTTTCTGATTTCCCTCCGCTAGATTTGAGTGATATATCATAATATTTCCTTTTATTTAGGAAAAATACCTGGAATTTTCTGTCTTTGTGTAGTCGAGTTTATTTTCTTCTTCCTAACTCCAAGGACTTGGAAGCAGGAAATAAAATTGCAACTTATTCATAGAAAATTATTTTTTTTTTGACAGATTTTTGCTGTAGGGTCGTATGCTCGCCAGACAAAGAGAGACAGAGACAGAAAGCGAGAAATCACCCCCTGGGGGGATGGCTATGCCACAATCCCTTCTCCTCCATTCTCCTCTCGGGATCTTGGGCACGCACGCACATGCGCCTGGTGTGAGTTTTAAGCCACCGGGTCCAGTACTCGAACCGTGGTTGACTACATGGGAGTCGAGTGACATAGCCATTATGCTAACTGCTGGTCCCTGCAGTTTTTATTTTTTTATTATTTTTTTTTAAGGTGGAGAATAATAACACTTTTACTTTTACATTTCTTCCACAGTACTTGTAGTACATGAGGAGACCTTAAAAAGTTTGTGGGAGGAGCCAGCAGATGGCTTAGCAGTTATGCTGCTGGACTCTCATGCACCTTAAGGCAAAAACCTCTTTTAAGGAAAAAGTTTGTGGGAAAGTGGAATTAAACTACAGGCTTATTCTGGCATAAAATATCTTTGAGATCTATATGTAATTTTTCATAATATGCATTTTCATAAGCTTTTTGAAGACCTCACATATAATCTAGCTACTTATCATTTTTTTTGAATCCATAGGCTACCTTTCTAAGTTAAAAGGTTTAGTGGGCCAAATATTTCCATTTATTCACTAGGAACAAACAAACCCCACAGCCTTCATCAACGTTTTTGGAAAGAATGATACTGCATTTTTTTTTTTTTTTCCAAATTTTAAGAAGGGTCCTGCTAAATCATGATCCTCCTTCCTCAGCTTTTAGGATGGGCCAGGAATCAAACCTGGGCTTTCCATGTGGTTTCACTTTTCTGAGTGGCAGCACCAACCATAGCTGTCTAGTCTGGCTCGGCCTGGTGGTGATTTTGATAGTCCAGATGAAGAAATATCTCTGCTTTTGAAATTCATGGAAATACCTGTCTTGCTGATTAAAGTTAAAAACAAACAAATTTATAAACTATAAACTAGCCCTGCAGTCTTTTTTTTAAATGTCTGTATTAATTTACATTTTCTTTTTTTTATTTCAATTTATTTATTTGCATTCATTCACTGTACATCATTACAGCATACAAAATGAGATTTTCCATCCAGAGTACACTGTATATTGTCTCAATCAAGCACATCAACAAATATGTTATTGTCAGCAAATGATCTTCCATTTCTTGTTTTCTGTATGTTTTGCTTTTTTTCCCCCATCCTTGATTCCCTATCTCTTACCCTCTGCCATCTCCCACTCTCCTCCCACACTGTCTCCGGTATCTATGTTTGCTTTCTATACTGTTTTCCCCCCACGTTTTATTGAATCACCAAAGACCCTAATCAATCCAAATACCCTCATAGCAAACACAGGTGACACACACATTTCCACGAATACAAGTCTAACTTTACGCATCCT